CAGAAACGACGGTACATCTTTTCAGTGAGTAATATCAGAGGTGAATATGTAGATTTGTTCCATTACTGGTCATCTTAACCTGGTTAAAGCCTTGTCTACCAGCACTCTCCATTGTGAAGTTGTTATTTTTCCTATGTGATGATTAGATATTTTTATGGTGATATACTTTTAGACTGTGAAATACTTTGCAACTTCTCAAATTTTCATCCATTAGTTTTAATGTTCATTGGTGATTATTGCCTAAATCAAGTATTGTTATGATGGTTGCTAAAAGGTGATTTTATAAATCTACCCTTCCTTCTGTATTTATTAATTGAACTTTTGTCTAAAAGAAAGAGTTTTCCTTTTTTCAATATATATTCATACGAACTCATGAGTTTGGGTTTTATTTGTAATTTTTATACTTAACGCTTTTTCTTTCTTGCTGGGGATTGAACCCAGGGCCTTATGCATGGTAATCACATGTTTTACCATTGAGCTATAACCCAAGCCCCCATTATTTATTTTGATGCTCACATTGTCCCAGATTTGGCCAATGGGAGCCCCTTTAAACTGATCTCCAACTTTGCTCCTTTAATTCTCTGAGTATAAAGTATTCAGATACATCTTGGACTCTTACCCTAGTCCTGGAAGTTTTTAAGGCACCCTGGTTCCTTTAAGTGAAAAATGCTAGTATTTAGAAATCAAAATTTGGATATACATATATAACATATATGTGTTATCCTCTTCCAGACCTGAATTAGCCATTTCCCAGAGAAATCCTTGTTCCTTTTAGCTAGAAACAATATTTAGATATGTCAGTCTGGGAACTAAGGGGGGCCCAATATTGCCGAGTTGTTATTTCTAGGCCTTTTTAGTGGATATAGCTATTTTTAAAAAAGAAAAAGTAAGTTACTTTGATTTTCATACTTTCATCTCTTTTCTCTTAGGCTTAAAATTTTGATCCCTGAAAAGTAAAAATAGAATTACCATATGATCCAGCAATTCTGTTTCCAAGTATATATACCCAAAAGAATTGAAAGCAGGGATTTGAACAGACGTTTGTACACCATGTTCATGTTCATAATAGCATCATTCACAATAATTAAAATGTGGAAGCAACCCAAGTGGTCATTGAAAGATGAACAGATAAGTAAAATGTGGTATGGACCAAAGGAAGACAGTAGTGATGCATTTCCTATCACTTTCATACCCCTGACCTGAATGTGGTAAAGGCAGACGTATCTGAGTTTTGTTGGACCTTCACATACCATAATACTGGTTACTATTAATTAACACTCTCTGTATGCCAGGCATGGCACTAAGTATTTCACATTTAATCTTCACAGCCACAGAACTGTTCCTTGATCAATTTTACGGAAAAATAGGAAAAAAAACACCCATTGAACAATTTTTTAAATAGAGGCTCAGATTTAAATCAGATTTAAATTACTGCTCTTGTAAATGTGCCCAGGTTCACAGAGCTAATTGGTAGCAGAGCTGAGATCAAAATTTGGGACTGTGGGACTCCACAGATCTCCAGCTCTTAAATTGCTATGCTTAGTGGTGATGGCATCCACTGAGTTAGGAAAGGGTACTTCTGCACTCCCATGTGGGTGCCTGGGGATGTTAGGGTAGAGATGCCTAATTTTAGAGGGGGACAGTGTTGAGGCCTGGGGCTTAGAGAAGAGTTTAGACTGGGGCGGTAGATCTGAGAGTGGGAGTCTGAAGCAAGAAATCTATTGGGTATGCCTGTGTATCTGGTGAGAGTACAGCAGAGGCAGAACCCTGGGGAGCACTCTCTGTTTGAGGGGAGGCAGGACGAAAAGGAGCAGTGGAACTCAAGGCAGTTGGGGGATGTTCACTAATACCCAGCACTGCAGAGGGTTCTGGGGACTGCTCTGTCTCACTCTGCTATTAATGAGACTGTGTGATCTTGGGAGTGTTGCTTAATCTTTGCCTCATTTTCCTTATCACTGAGATGAAGATTAAAAATTGTGCTCCCTGGTTGGGGTGTAGCTCAGTGGTAGAGCACTTGCTTAACAGGTGCAAGGCCTCAGGCTTGAGCCTCAGCACTTGTGAAAAACAAAAACTGTTTATCTCTTGGAGTGATGAAAATGTTCTGGAATTATACATAATAGTGATGGCTACAACTTTGAATGTACTAAAAGCTACTGAATTGTGAATTTTGTAAATTGTATTTCAGTTAAAAATTAACCAATCTTGTTCCTCACAGGATGGAATGAAGATTAAATGGGGTTCAGTGGTGTATACTGTAGTCCAAGCTACCCTGGAGGCTGAGACAGGAGGATGGTAAGCTTGAGGCCATCCTGGACAGCATAGACCAAAAAAAAAAAAGTGTAAAGGAGCAAATGCTTATGGCAGTGCCTATCCCAGCACAGCATTTGACCCACAGTAGAAAGCCACAGCAGAAGATGATTTTTAAGGAGAGCCATAGTGTCACACATTTTAAGGGCTGCTATTATCCCTGGAGCTGGGGACACCATTTACAAACACTGCTGAACAGTAGTCCCCCAATCTGTAGGTTAAGCATGGAGGCTCCAGGAATGGTGGCTTTGGGCACATAGAGATGCCTCCCTCCCTGTTTGGTTACTCCATAGCTCACTGCTTCCTGCTCTGGCAGAAATATGGCTGGGACCTCCCTTAGCTGGATGGTGCAGAGATGCTGGGTGGGCTGTCAGGATAGTGGATCTCAGTGAACTGGGCTTTCCAGACTTACGCCTGGCCTCTGAGAATGTACAGTTCACTTTCTTGGCCTTAATCAGTCTCTAGTAAAAAGAGAAGAAGCCTGCTGGTTTCTCATTTATTGAGAAATGCAGTGCCCTGTTTCCACTTGGCTAATGGGGGCTTTCAGGGATGTTGGGGTGGGGAGATGCCCAGGAATTAAAACAGGAAGGAGAAGGGGATGCCTGCCTGCTGGGTTTCACCTTCATCCATAAAACTAGGACCATGATAAAGGGAGGCTGTAAAGAAAATCCTCATGCCAGCGGTATTGTTAAATGTCTTCAGATGTCTATGGTTTGAAGGCAGTGTGCTTCCTGTGTCCTCTGCATGTACATTGTTTTTGTTCCATTACTAATCTAAATGGTCTGAAAATGGAGCTTTTGGGGCAGGGTGGCATTTGCTGTAAAATTCTGTGGACATTCTCTTGGCAAGAAAGTTGCTGACCATCCTGTGGTTTTCTAAAATCATGTGCAATTATATCATCAAACCACATAAAACTTTCTAGATTTTTTTAAAAAAACAAGACTTTTACACTTCATTGGATAACCCTCTAAGTAGTTGGATATTCAAAAATAATTCTATTTTGCCTGCAACCAATATCTTATGATCAACTATTGTTGACAAGTGTCCTATGTGTTTAATGTGTGTATTAGAGCTTACTTAACGTTGGAAATTTCAAAATGTATGATTAAAAAAAAAAAAAAAAGAAGAGTCTGAATATCATGCTAAATGAAGTAAGCCAATCCCAAAAAAACCAATGGCTGAATGTTTTCTCTAATATGTGGATGCTAATTCACAATAAGGTGGGGGGCACTAGGGAAGAATAGAGTTATTTTAGATTAGGTAGAGGGAAGTGAGGGGAGGGCCTGTGGGAATAGGAAAGATAGTAGAATGAAACAGACATTATTACTATATGTATATATGTGACTACATGACCAATGTAATTCTGCAACATGTATACTAAAAAAAATAAGAAATTATATCCTATGTATGATATATCAAAGTGCATAAATGCATTCTACTGTCATGTATAACTAATTAAAACAAATTAAAAAATTTAAAAAATAAAACAAGGGCTGAATTTCTCTCTGGTAAGCCCATGATGCGGGGTGGGGGGGTGTGGGGTCGCGGGGTGAATGGAGTAACTTTGATTGGGCAAAGGGGAAGGAAGATAAGGGAGAGGGCTTGGGGGTAGGAAAGATGGTGGAATGAGTTGAACATCATTACCCTATGTACATGTATGACTGCACATGTGATGTGACTCTACATTGTGTACAACCAGAGAAATGAAAAGTTGTGCTCCATTTGTGTACAATGATTCGAAATACATTCTGCTATTGTGTATGATTAAAAAGAACAAATAAAAATTTAAAAAAAAATGAGTCTGAAATTGAATGCAATCTTCAAAGTTCTACTCATAATTTATTTATGGCTTTAGGATTCCAAAATAGCAAAATTATTTACACAGTAGAACCCCGCTTGAAAAATCTGTCAGGATCACTGGTTGAGTAGGTGTTTGTGATGGAGGCCAAGCTCAGATCAAACCAAGCACAGCTTCCTGGGGCATTAACAGCCTACACTCTTCTCTCTTCCATGGAAACAAAACCTTAGGGGCCAAGGCAGCTCTGTTGGGAGTGTGGCTGCCCAGTGGGGCCACACCTTGCAGTCCTCTGAGAACTCCCATGGGTGCCTCCCCTGCTTTCTTCCGAATGACCTTGAGCCGTGGGTAGCCCCACCCTTTTGTCCTTATCTCTTAACAATAAAGAACTTATTTGCCTCTGCCTCTTGACTCCTTTGCTCAGCTAATTGCTACTGATTAATTTGTTCATCTGCTAGTGTGTGGGGGTGGGATGGGGTGAGGGTAGTTGGTTCCTGGTTTCTGACCTTCAGGAGCAGGTAGTTTTCTTTTATTCTTTAATTCCTTTGCAACTCTTAAAGCTGTAGCTTGGGCACTGTTTATTTAGCTGCATAAAAACAGTGAAACCAAAGATCACATGCAGGGACATTGGTTGCAGGTTAAATAATTTACACCTGCAGTCAGTTTCTTTGTTTCAGAACCAAAAAAATATTTGTTCCTTGCTCTATTGTCTCAGGGGAGAAGAGGATATATTTTTAAATCCACCTTCTTCATGAAATAACCTCTCTCAAGAGGGAAAAACCCATGGATCATTTTGGAGAATGATGATCTTGTTGTGTGCTTTTTATGAGACCCTCGTGGCACTGACTACACGGGCTCCTCCTGCTACCCTCCCTGCTCTCATGCTGTGTTTCTTGAAGAGAAGGCATAACCAATGGTTTTCCTGTGGCCAAAGGTGTGAAAAAACTCCAGATAACTTAATGTTAGTTAAGTTATCATGTGGGAGATCATGGTACTGGGGAAAGATACTGTACTTGAGCCCTTGAACAAACCTGGGCCACACACAGTTGCCATCTGCTTCCTGAATGTGTGAGGATCAGAGATAATATGTGGTCCTAGAGCCAGATGGCATCTTTACATTATCATGCTCTCTAGTTACAAGCTATTGTTATTCTAAGGTGCCTGGCAAGGCACAGCTAATTTGGGCCTCTTAGCAGACAATATAACATGACTTCTAACCTGGTTGCTTAGTTTTTTGGGGGGTGGGGTGGGTGCCAGGGATTGAATTCAGGCACTTGACCACTGAACCACATCCCTAGCCCTATTTTGTATTTTATTTAGAGACAGGGTCTCACTGAGTTGCTTAGCGCCTCGCTAAATTGCTGAAGCTGGCTCCTCCTGCTTCCGCCTTCTGAGCTGCTGGGATTACAGGCACTGGGCCAGTTGTTTAGATTTTAAGAGGATCTGCCATTCAACATGGATGTATGCATGGTAGCGTAAAACCCCTGTTCTAGGGACTCAGAAGGTGTTGGTGGGAGGCCTTCTTAGTCTGTCTGGTTTCAGGATCCCATCTTAATGTGTTCTGTGAGTCCTGAGGTTGGAGCTGGTTTCTGAAGAGAAATCCCTGTCCCCAACACTTCCTGCCATCTCTGCCCGGTATAGTCACGAGGTCTTTCAGCAGAAGCAGTGCTGGAAAACTTGTCTGCTGTCTTTGTGGCTGAATCCAAACCAAAACCGTGTCTCTCTCCTCAAGTATGTTTTCAGTATTGGTGGGAAGAGACATTTTAATTTTGAATGTGCTGGAGCTGATTAGAGTTCTGCCTGGTTCTGAAGATACTGTGGACTCTGCTCTGTGTACATGTGGTCATCACCCAGTTAACAGTGTCCTGTGTCATTGCCACCCTGCTGAGTAAATGAGTTTCTGTGTTTTAGTCTGAAAATTGTGCATGATCTGACAAAGTTGAGTATGGATCAGCGTGTGCTTTTTATATTTCCCAAACCAGTTTTCCTCCAGACACCTCTGTGCCAAGTGTTAATAGGTATGCTGGGTTGGGAATTCTGGGCCCATGTAACATAATCCATGTATCAAATAAAGGTAAACAGGTTTGACTGCACTTTTCAGAACTGTTAAGATGCTGATGTGCTATGAGTACTAGGGATGTAGTTAAGGTGGAAATAGCACAGGGCTTAGCACAAGCAAACGCAGAGCTGCATGGCTGCTCTGGCCCTAGCCATGCACACTTGTGTGAATTTTGAGCTACTTCTCCATAACTGAAAGTGTCAGCCTGTGTCAGTAGTTTCAAAGTAAGCACAACAGAAATATTTTCCTAACATAGAAATCAGAGCGATGCTTTGCAAACCACTCTTCCTGGGACATTAATTTAGAAGGCTAAAATATATCTGTCCTTAGCTCAGAAAAGCTTAGGAACCACTGCTAATAGGAATATAAAACAGAAGTGCTTTGATGAGGGGCTAGGTTTATTCCAATCCTTCATGCCTCCCCCAGCCAAGGATGCAATTGGAAAGCAAGGCCCTGCTTTGTGTATTCTCCTGCCTGCTTGTCCAAAGTCCAGTGCTGTCCAGGAAGGCTTCTCAAGTCTTCTACCGCTATCTCAGTCCTCAGTGACCCTCCTCCTCTTCCACACCACAGCAATGCTTTTTCACCCCTTCCTGGACACCAAGCCCCTGGCACCTCATTAGCTATTTGGTTTTGTGTGTATAGCAGAGCTGATAGGTTGGCTGGGTTAGAGTGAGACCCAAGCACAGCAAGCCTCCAAGTGCCACAGAGCAATCAGGATCACACAAACAGCTGTCCTACCTTGCCTCCAATTTTCCTGGTGCTTGGCCAATCTCTATCAGGATTCTGAGGTATACCCCAGTTGGGAGCCCAGAGGAAGCCATGCTGTAGGAAGAGGAGGGGTGAAGAGCTTGTTCTGTCTCACGTGATTAGATGGTTTCACTCTATGGCCTGACTGTGTGTCATAGGAGGATGTGAACTCAGCACAAGGCTATGCCTGAGCCTTGTTTAAGATTAAACTTGGGGGGCTGGAGTTGTGGCTCAGTGGTAGAATGCTTTCCTTGCACATGTGAGTCATAGGGTTTGATCCTCAGCACCACATTAAAAAAAGAAAAGTAAAGGTATTGTGCCAATCTACAACTAAAAAATGTTTTTAAAAAAGATTAAATTTGGATATACGCACACACACGGCAGGGAAAAATATAGGAATATAAGGTCGGAGGGAAGACACATTTGCAGTTTGTTCACTGCTGCCTCCCTAGAGTAAGAGTAGTACCTGACCCATCGAAGATGATCAGTTAATTTTAGCTAAGTAAAGGGATAATAATCATCTTAATATTACATTGAGACTTTTAAAATTTAAAGACAAATGCCCTAGACATCTAAGGAACTTTTGAGGATGTAGTGTCTTAGAGCCAATAAGGGGACTAACATTCCTAAAATATTATGGGGGGACTGAAAACCCCAGATTTAGTAGATACTCTTATTCCCAAATAGGGGAAGGCCCCATTTCTTTTATCTGTCAGGGAGAGTTAGACTATAACGCAGTAACAACAAACCAAGGCTATTCCATGCATCCTTACTTGGGACTCAGACTGCTGGAGTAACTACCAAATCTTGTTGGTACTGAGGCAGAGTTAAGAGGAAGATCTCAGGAAAATCTCACTGGCAATAAACTATGTTGCCTGAAATTGACACACATCTTATTAGCCAAAATTAATCCCCTGGTTCCATTCTACTTCAGGGGAGGTGAGAAGAGGCATCTCATGTTCTGGATCATCAAATATCTGATAATCAGCACTAAGGACATCTACAGCTATCATGACAGACTGGAATTCATTTTACACAGTAATGGTTAGGTTATTTCTCAATGTTTGTGATGTTTTTATGAAACATGACCCTAGAAACAGTTTCAGTAGAAGCATTGTTTTGTAGAATGCTAGGAAGCTCACCTGCGAATATCACAGTACTCCAGGCTTGTGTTGCTGTAGACATTTCAAATGGGGAGTCATTTTAGCATCTGGGGGTGTTTAAGGCCTCTCAAGTAGTTTAGAATGAAAAAATTTGTACTAAATGCTGCTGGTTTTAGGTACATATATTTTAAAATGCTTCATCAGATCCTTTGATAAATTAGTGAATTTTGATCAATCTTTAAGAGATGCCTTCCAAGACATTAATGGCACTGTTCCTTCCTGGTTGTCTTTGTCAGTGTGTTCAGGAGGAGGAGACTCTTGCTATGCACCTGCTTTATCAGCTTGTAGTTCGTTGGTGGCCAGGAAATAGGTTTGCATGCCATCAAAGAGACTCTGGAATGATGAACTCTTGTGATAAAGAAATGGAATCAACATAGGCTTTCAGGGTGGCCTTCATTTTCCATTGAAGTTTTTAATTTCACTGTAAAATATTCATGAGTAGTTCAAAACAAATAGGGGTTGATTCTTAGAGATCACTGACATTTAACTCAAAATAAACCTGGATATTTCAAAAGTGTTCATAATGGAACACTTACTTTTTTTCTGATTAAAACACACTTTTTATGTGTAGAAATCTTAGAAAATAAAAGAAGCCTACAAAAATAAAACCATCTATCCTATATGGTTGTAGATGGATTCACTATTAATATTTTACTGTAGAATCTTCCTGTGCTATATATATTATGTATACATACATATGTTGGTTATACATGCATTTATATTTCTAATATGTATGCATGTATTATAAATGCATATGCATGAATTTTAAGTGTACATCTTTCTTATATATTCATATACTACAGGAGTGTTTAAAATAAAAAAGAAAATCTCCCTGATTCTCCTTTACCCTAGTCAATTCTAACTCATAGAAGTCTCCACTTTTTTTAGTGTTTATGTTTTTGTGAACACAGATAGCCTCATGGTTTTTGTGCCTCCCAAAAATGGGGTTACTATAGGCCTAATATTCTGCACTCTGGTTCTTTAAGTATCCCTGGACATCTTTCCCCTCTAGCACATATAAGTACCTGTTTCTCTGCTTTGTGCTTCTCATTGTATGTAGATGTGTTATCACTTATTTAACCCTTGCTCTCCGGCTGGACATTTATAATTTTTTTAAAAAATTATTTATTTTTAATTTTTTTATATTTATTTTTTAGTTGGACACAATATCTTTATTTATTTATTTTTATGTGGTACTGAGGATTGAACCCAGGGCCTCACATGTGCTAGGCAAGCTCTACTGCTGAGCCACAACCCCAGTCCCATAAAAAATTTATTTTTTTGATAGCTTTTTTTATTTATTTATATGTGGTGCTGAGAATCAATCCCAATGCCTCATACATGCTAGGCAAGCGCTCTACCACTGAGCCTCAACCCCAGCCCTGGACACTTATAATTTTGAGAAGAATCTCAAGATCACTGTCAATGCTGGACCAGTCTGTACCCTCTCCATTGGTGTGGGGGTGTTCTGCTTTGGCACAATATACCACTTTATATTTTTATAAATCTGATAGATGAGAATGATATCCTAATTTGCATTTCTTTTGTTGAGTGTGTGTGTCTATGTATTTATTTGTCATTTGCCTTTCACCCTCTGCCCTTGTCTGGAACATTGCTGGCCGCCATGGCTAGGGAAAGGCACACGGTAAAATTGCTCATGGCACCTAAATGCTACTCTCAGAAGTAACAGATGTTTCACAAATTCATGTTTCATTGTCCAAGCCCAGAAGTAGATCCCAGTGTTGTGAATCTACCGGGTACAATAGTAAACACTTATTTAGAATAAGCAGCACACTAAATTATGAATTCAGAAGGCTTTTTATTTTTGTTTTTGTTTTGGCCTCCATTAAAATGGATCCTTCCTATTGTATTTCAATTTCAGTATGATTAGGTATTTTTTAAAAGTACACAAAATCACTCTGAAATTTAGATTTATTACACAAGAAATTCTAAGATTCTAGTTGC